GCGAACCTGCCAAGGTTCCAGTTTGACCGGATTCGTCCCTTTTCGAACTTCCGAAAGCGAAGTTCGGCGAAAAAAAGTCGACTAAAGATCAACTTTTCTGCGGAAACGCAAAAAAAAAAAAAAGAAAAAAAAAGTGAGTTGTTGTTATTTGGCGGAGGAAAAGTTCAACGTTTATTAAAGCATGAAATGCTTTTTAACCCTACCCCCCAATTCCAAAATTTGCCCGTCCATCCGTCCGTGCATTTCCCGCTAAATTTAACGGGGAAAGTTATATCTCGAGACGTACACACTAATACAATTTCTAAGCTAAATTTAGCGGGAAAATTGATGTCAAGTGACCTGACGTCACGCAACATATGTACAAGTTCAGTTTCCCCGCTAAATTTAGGGGAAAAATTGACGTTCCATGACCTATACACCAATTCAGTTTCCCCGCTAAATTTGGCGGGAAAGTGGCGTCACGTGACCCATACACCTTGGGAAAATTGACGGCACGTCACCTATACGTCAACTCAGTTTTCCCGCTAAATTCAGCGAAGGAAATCGTCGCCACGTGACCTGACATCACGCGACCAATACAACCATCCAGTTTACCCGCTAAATTTAGCGGGGAAAATGTACGTCCGACCCTTTTCCGGCTTTGCGGTTCGAGAGCTCAAAACACACGTGTTGCCAGGCCGGATTAGGCTGGGTGGAAAAACAAGGCTGCCATTTTACTTCACGCGCGGTAGTTGTGTAGGTGTGGCACGAGGGCGCGCGAATATTCCTTAAGCGGGTTTCACATGCAGCGATTTTGGCCCTAGAGCGGCGCGATTTCTGCCGTCGCGGCGCTCTGGCCAGCCGCAGCGGTTGAGCGGCGCGGTTCCACCAGGTTGGAAATTTTTCGCCGCGGCAGAGCGGCAGCTTCTGGCCACTCACAGCGCGGCGGGAAATCACGTGACAGGAGGAGAAGCATTGCGGGAAAGCTGGCAGATAGGACGGCGGCAGTTTCACCTTCACGACTGACAAGGAAACAGCGCACCCTCAAAACAAGCACTCTAAAGCTTTCATGCACACGAAAGAAAGAGCCACTGTTTCACGTTCTTGAAGCAGAGGACAAGCAGAGAAAGCACGCCGCGACTGGTTTGCGGTTTGTTTTTTCCGGGTGGGTCGAGCTTCTTTGCCTCAGCAGTCGCGTCGGAACTGTTCAGGAGATTATGGAGGAGGGGGATGGCTGTGCCCTTCCTCGGAATTTGTTTTCTCAATGAATTACGCGGCTCTTTTTGCTTTCCTCACCTGAGTACCGACTGTAGCGAGCGCAAGAGACGCTAATCGGAAGGGGCTCGTGCGAGCGCTAGTGGGAAAAATAAAAGAAGAAGAACTGAGCGACATTTCGTGTCTTCTCGAACACAGATCGCCCAACAAGTAGGAAAATGTATCGCGCCCAGTTCAATGAACTCCTGATAAATGAAGTGTCCAAGCGTCGGATTCTTTGGGACGCGCAGCTCAAAGCATTTAGGAATAGTGGGACGAAAGAGACACTCTGGGAAGAGGTGACTGAAGCCGTGAAAGTGATCGACAAGACCGGTATGAAACCACTGCACTACTACGGGTTTCAACGTTTTTACACTGTTTAACCATGTGAATTATTCAGCAAACGTCAAAGGCAGTGGTATCGGAACAGAGGGAGGCGATCGCCCCCCCCCCCCCCCCCTTCCTCGCGCCCCCCTAGATATTTCTAAATTTTAATGTAAGGAATACGTACTAAGACGGGGCAAAAAATAACTCTGTTTGCCCCCCCCCCCCCCCCCCCTGCCCCCCAATATTCGAGTAATTCGGACGTATCTGGTGAGGGGTCTTGATTTTTAAAATAAATATTGCAAAGTGGCTTATAGTGATATCTGAACAGGGTGTTCCCAGCAATCGCAGTAGACCAAGAACAGCAATGCCCATGGCTTGTGACCAAGCACTTGACATTACCTAAGAAATGTGACATAACCAGCTTGCCTTCGTACTTTCACTCGTTGTAACTCGATGTTTCTCTGCTTTCCTATACTTGTAGACAAGATTCCAACGCTATGAAATCAAATGTGTGGGTGCGCGTGAATCTCGGAACATTGAGCACCGGCGAAATCTATGGAAGCGCGCTCTTCGAAATGGCACAGAAAGTTGACCCCAAATTTAGAAGCGTTCAATGCTGCGCTTCCCGCCCCCGCTCGTTGCCTGTCGCAGGGCTCTGGTGGCGCGTACGACATTAGAGAGTTTTAGCAGATCGTAAACGATAGCCCGGTACAGCGGAGCTTGCGCTACTACTTTGTAGCATGCTTTTAAGCGCGCCCGGACTGTACCGGCATCGTATCGGTATCGTGTCAAGCGTTTGATAAAACTCTCTACTGTTATCAAAGCCAAAAAGCTTGTGTTCGATGCGGATCACCGACTGTAGGACAGTCATTTATCCCTTTTGAGTCGACTGTATTACGAGCGCTCTCGAAGACGGCAACATGCGCAATGCGCGCTATGTTAATCTAAATGTCCAGCATCATCATCCTTTTAATCAACATGCATCAAGCTGTATACGACTTGACATTTCAGTGACAGTGGATGAGGTCCACTCCCGATGGAAGAACCTGAGGGACACTTTCCGGAAAAAAATGAATGACGAGAAGGGGACAAAAAAGAGTGGGGCTGCAGCTTCCTCAAAATCTAAGGTTTGGCCCTACATGGACCAAATGCAGTTCCTGAGCGACACATTAGGTTCTCTCTAGTAAGTGTTGGAAAATATCAATATTAATTGATAGGTGTGAGCACAAGTGCTTAAAGGAGCGGTGCAACGATATTCAATTGGAATGTTTTTCACTTTGCACGAGCTTACTGGCAGTAGTGGGACTCAAGTATACTCGCAACGCCACTGGCTAAGAAACTCTTTTGTTGCGGTGTAATTTCAGGGGCAAAAGCGATCATTTTCATTCAATCTTTCCTTTGCGAATTTTGATGACGTACCGTGGGGATCGCAGTACACCCCAAACGACGATATTTGAATGCGGTTCATAGATTGGACCCGAGTATTGCGTGGGCCCTCGATTTGGGCTTGTGATAATTACTAGCTCGAGAAGCATTCGGGTATAGTGGCCCGTGACCAATCGCTGCGACGACGACAATAGCCGAGCCATAGCAATGTCTGGAACTCAGCGCGTGTCCTATGCTTTGCCAACCCCAGCGCGTGGCTATGATCAACATTGGTGGCATATAATCGGCTCCAGATCACATGGCCGCTTGTTCTGGCTGCGAGTTGAGGGGGTGAACGCTGCTCGTTTTTTTTAAATGTTTTTCTGGAACTTCTATTACGTGGGTTGAAAGACGAACGCGTGTTTCATATATGTCAGTAACGTCAGTGTTCCGTTCTGAGCGGTATTTGCGCGAAGTAGAAAAATTGTTGCACCGCCCATTTAATAATTTACATTCTTTTTAGAAGCTTCAGCAACATGGAGGCCACCGATTTAACGGTGGCACACATGAGTCAACCGGCAGCAGACAGTCCGACGCCTCAAGGGAGCCCAAGGGGGCCGGACGCCTCAAGCTGTCTGAATCTGATTTTTGCGTCACCGGGCTACGCCGAGACCTCTGCTGCTGGTCCTTCCCAAGCAGCCGAGCCGGGAAGCTGCCCAAGAGAAAGCGTAGCGACTAGGACACACGCAAAAAGCCAAAAACGGAAGCAGGACTTGGAAGCAGTGGAAGACGAACTCAACGTTGTGAGAGGGGCCCTGGCAGCACACAAGCCTATGGATGCTACTGTCCACTTCCTGCTCTCCCTAGATCCATACTTAAAGGCGACACCCGAGTCTATGCAGACTCACCTTAAGATGGAACTTCTACATATTCTATCTCAGTATGCTCAAGGCCGATACCCTGATGCACTTCTTGTAAAGAGCGAGTAAAGACAAATGAGTCACACCTTTTGCTTGTTTATTCGTCTGGATCGTGTCTACCATGCAATGTATGCAAAAGTTTGCAAGTGCTCGCAGCACAAGGTGCGCTTCCGTTCAAGGACGTAGCCCAGCAGAGGTCCGCTGCCAAGGTACGGCCCCTTGCCTGCTCATAAAGTAGGAGCAGAAGAGGTCCCTCGCTTCACGTGCGGAACCGCTGTAATTGTGCCCCACCGGAGGCTCCAGGTCCGTCATAACTGTTTCGTCATCTTTGAATGTCGATCGCCAGTTGCCGTTCGTGATGTTGCCATAGGCATCCTCTTTGTCAACGTAGCTAGGAGGAATGTAGACGGAGTCGTCCCGCAAGTAGTTGTGTAGTGCGCAAGTTGCCATGACGACGTAGTCTGCGTGTTCTGCTAGCAGGTTGATGGTTCTTCGGAATATCCGAAACCTTGATGCCAACACGCCAAAAGCGTTTTCGGCGCACCTCCTGCACAAGTGGAGACAGGTTCACGGAAATGATTCTTTACAATTATCCCGCAACAAAACAGACAAAAAACAACAACAATTAAACTATTTGCTACCCTGCTAGAAACTACCCGCCCACCCCCTCCAATTCACTACATGGTTATTGCGCTTTTAAGTCACCTTGCACGGCTGAGCCGATAGTTGAATATTCGTTTGTCATCGTCCTGGTGCTTTCCCGGGCATGGTCTTAAAAAGTCGGGGCGTAGGTGGAACGCTTCGTCCCCCAAGAACACATATGGTGCGATTACTGTCGAGTTTGGAAGCCGCTTTGGTGGTGGCAGGCCGAGGAGGCCATTTTCGAGACATTTACCGAACCGAGAGGCACTTAGGGTACCTCCATCGCTCTGTCGTCCGTAGGCACCGACGTCTACAGCAACGAACTTCAAGTCACTGTCCACAACAGCCATTAGTACGATAGAGTATGTACCCTGTAATGACAACAAATCATAAATGCAGTGAGAAATACAGCTCATAAAAAGTACTGACGCAAACTGCACCTTATAGTTGTAGTACAAGCTACCAGAATTCGGTGGTGCCTGAATCTCGATGTGTTTGCCATCCACAGCACCGACACAGTGGGGGAAATTCCACTTGTTCTGGAAGCCCTCAGCAACTTCCTGCCATCTCTCAGTAGTTGGCACCTGTGATGACATTGTGTCATAGCAGCAGACATGTAATAGAGCCTTCTAAATATTTCAAACGCGACTGCATGGAAGTTCTGAAATCAGTTTCATAAACTACAATTTTCGATGGTATATAATATATGTAAGCACACACAGATACCTTTACAATCTGTTTTATAACAACATAATTAAACATTGGTTAATCCCTTCACCGGTTGAAGGTTTTCATGATCTGTATACTACATTACAATACTCAACTCCAGAACTTCATAATAAGTGCTCAACTTTGTGCAAGATGGCCTTCATTGATATAGCACCATTAATCTACGCGGGTTTCACATGAAGGGATTTCGTGGCCGAAATCGTTGCCGCTAGCGGCGTGGCGGCACGGATCGCGAGGTTTCACTTCACATGAGCGTTTCCTGCGGTTGCGATGGCCAATGTTGCTTGCAGCAAGCAGATGCTCACAGTAGGTTACAGCGGCTTCCAATAATTTTAATGCCTTAGTTTTCATTTTACCCTTTAATTTCACCTTAATAAAATAAAAAAGCGTTTAAAATATTAAATAAACCTTGATCCTATTTGTTTATGGTTCTTGTTTTCTTTCGAACTTCGTTCTCGCGGAGGATCAAACGTCGAATCATCCTCGGCAGCGTCACGGGCAGCGCCTTCCTCGGATGTAGACTTCAACTATGGTGCCTGGAGCGCGTCTTCGACTGGTGTGTTTAGCGTCCTATCCCGCCCATACATCAAAAGTGGTCCCGATGTGGCAACAAATGACGCGAGTGTCATGCTGTTGCCTGTCGCGATCCTGGCGGTTGGCCGTAGAAATGCTGGCGAAAAGCAGGAGCGAACGCGAGTGTCGCTGTCGTCACGGCGTCCCGTTAGGCGTCCCAACTTCCGGCTGCACTAGCTTCCGTGAACTGTCACAGTGGAAAGCGACCTGCAGCAGAACAGGCATCTGCTACATACACCATAACTGTTGGGACGCCACCAGGGTCGCGACCGGCGACAGCAGAACACTTTTATGACGTCATCAGGCGGAAATCGAGGGACCACTTTTTTGGCCGCGGTAAACACACCAGTCAAAGACGCGATCCAGGCACCATACTTCAACTGATATGACCGACCCGAACCTCGCGAACCGGTAGTAGTGCAGTCGTTTCATACCGGTCTTGTCGATCACTTTCGAGGCCTCAGCCACCTCTTCCCCGAGTTTCCCTTTGATCCCATTGTTCCTAAATTCTTTGAGCTGCGCGTCCTAAGGAACCCGACGCTTGGACAGTTCACTGATAAGCAGTTCATTGAACTGGGCGCAACATGTTTCGTCTTACTTGGTGCAACGATCTGTGTTGGAAAAAAACATGTCAATGTCGCTCAGTTCTTCTTCTTTTGTTTTTCTCACTAGCGCACGTACAATCCGCTACCAAGTAGCGTCTCTTGCGCTCGCTACAGTCGGTACTCGGGCGAGGAAAGCAAAAAAGAGTCGCGTAATTCATTGAGAAAACAAATTCCGAGGAAGGGGACAGCAATCCCTCTCCTCAATGATCTACTGAACAGTTCCGACGCGACTGCTGAAGCAAAGAAGCGCGACCCGCCGTAAAAGAGATATCGCAAACCAGTCGCTTGCGTACTTTCTCTGCTTGTCGTCTGGTTCAAGAACGTGAAAACGCCACCGTCCTGTGTGCCAGCTTTCCCGCAATGTTTCTCCTCCTGTCACGTGACTTAACGCCTCGCTGTGAGTGGCCAAGGCGAGAGCTGCCGCTCTGCCGCGGCGAAGAATTTCCAACCAGGTGGAACCGTGCCGCTCAGCCGCTGCGGCTGGCCAGAGCGCCGCGACGGCAGAAATCGCGCCGCTCTAGAGCCAAAATCGCTGCATGTGAAACCCGCTGACGAACTGTGACTGCTTGTATACCCAGGTATTGTCAGGCAAAAAGAAGCGGGGCTCGGACGGCAGTGTGCGAGCTGAGCTCTCGGATCTGCATTGAACGGTCACCGTGGACGCACCATCTTAATCAGTATGCTTATTTCCCGATTTAAAACGTATTCAATACTAGAATCCCCAGCAGTGTCAGTATTTCTCTAAAAGCACCTCACAAATTACTGGTAATAGAAGAGGTGCGCAAAATTTAATCTTAAGCAAAGCATTTTCTATCACTAATTTGACCAGCCAGCCTTTCAACATACCTTTAGACAAAGGGGTTGGAGAGCTGTCCAGAGAATCTTGCAGGTGGAGTGAATGACACCCGCCGCTGTCGAGATTCCGACTCTAAAGGCCAGAGCAATGTCCTGTATCTGCATTCCAGACGATAAGTACCTTAAAGAAAGCGGGTGGAATAGTAAATCATATGTCTGTGCATAAATCAGAGCTAATTAGAAAAGCAGGAAAGTTCCCAGTACCTGAGTGTCATGGCGAGTCTATAGCCCGCGATAATAGCGGCTGCCGCGTGAGGTAAGCTCTTGTGAGTGGTGTTTCGACCAGGGAATGGAGCTCTTCAAATATTTCAGGTCTCATCTTATAGTACTTATGGAAGTACTCCGTGTCCCAACTTATAAGCAAAGGCATCTGCACGAATATATTACATTGTGAGAAAACAAATACCACTAGAAAATCCTTGGTATCAAAATACGAGGTCACAACTCACCGCTGTGTGGACCTCCGACTCTCTCCTGCGGCTTTGCCAGATGGGCCTTACCCACCAGCGCCTTGGGCTCCGGAGAGTAAGCAGGATCTGCTTCTTTCTTAAGAGAAGATACTCTTCAAGTCTTCGTAGACGGACATACTCCGGATCATGAGCACATACCCAAATTTCGGAAATACCAACTATATCCGCTATATCCAGGAGGTTCGGGCCGGCCATATCAGTTGGAGTGTTTACATCCGAGGAAGGCGCTGCCCGTGACGCTGCTGAGGATGATCCGAGGTTACATCCTCCGCAAAAACGAAGTTTGAAAAAAGAACCATAAACAAATAAGACCAACGTTTATTTAGTATTTTCGACGCTTTTCTTTCATTTATTAAGGTTAAATTAAAGGGGAAACTGAAAACTAAGGCATAAAAATTGTTGTTAGAAGCCGCTGTAACCGACTCTGCGCATCTGCTTGCTGCAAGCAACATTGGCCATCGCAACGGCAGAAAACGCTCATGTGAAATGAAACCTCGCGATTCGTGCCGCCGCGCCGCTAGCGGCAGCGATTTGGGCGGCGGAATCGCTGCATGTGAAACCCGCTTTAGAACGAGGACTCTATAAATACTTTTACGTCCCGGGGTATTCGCTCGAAGAACAACTCCGCGGACAGATGTCGTGACGTCAAAAGCCCGCGAGACACCGTCCGTAGCTCTAGCAGTCACACGGACGGCGGTGAGTGGCGGGGTGCCGTGAGGAATACCAGTGTTATCAGGCGAATTTAGCGGTCGCACTCTGGACAACAACGCGGTGGCGTCCTTTTATAGCAGCAGCGCTGCTATGAAATAAACGACGACGACATTCTGCCTGCTAAAAAAAGCTATTGAGTGAAAGGTTAGATGCAAAACAAAGAACTCAGGATACATAACTACTTGTATACGAAGAGCTTCTTCAAAGCGACACCCCCGAGTATCGATGAGCCTACACGGGTGCCTCATGACGTCTTCGTCAAACGGCCGCGTCCATCCGCGCAAACATAAGCAGACAACAAACATGGGGCGTCCTGGCGGGTTCTGATATTGTTTTTAATGTCAGCAGCCGCGGAGCGCATATGCATGCTTTGAACAAAGACATCACTAACGCACTGTGTATGGCGCAAATGTATTCTGAGTTAAATTGTAGGCTCTCGGTGCGTGGGGCTAGCAAGTGATCCTACTTGCTTCACGTGCGAGATAATCGTTCTTTACGATTTACTTTGCCTTTTCAACGTCATCGTGCTGCACGCTCGTCTGCCGACACTCTGTGCAGCCACGCAGCGTCTCGCTGCCACTACGAAGGTTCTCAAGAGTCTTCGGAGTGCCGTCCTCGGGCACGCTCGCTGAGTTGAGCACACCCTACAGAAAATTTGGTCGTAAAGGAACTCTTCGTGATTCTTCGGCTTGCCCATATTTCGCAACCTAAAAAGGTTTTTTTTAAGTACCCCATAAAAGGGATCTTCCCGAAAAAGATCGAAGGGGTTCTTTTTTAGCTCTTATGCAAATTTTTTTTGTGAAAAATTTTTGCAAGGTTATATAGAGCTCTTTTTGATAAACCTTTCTTTATGGACATCCATTCAAGAGTTCTTTTAAGCACGTTGTTAACGAACGGTTCATCAGCAAGAAAGTCTGAGAAGTTCATAAGTTCGGTTTTTAATGAATCAGTTAGCCATAAAGAACCCTTATGAGTTTGTCGAAGATCTTTTTAGGGAAAAAATGTTCGTTATAAACTACCCTTGAGGATTTTTTAAAGTTCTTTTTCCTATAAGTCTTTGTGAGGCACACTTGAATGTATTTCAAACAGGATAAAAGGGGCATTACACAACCCGTCTAAATTAGAGGCGTATTGTGGGTTATCCCATTTTTATGTTGTCCCTTGTTCCACATGTCTGTAAAGGTTCCTCATAAAAATTCAATTACTAGTAAAAGGGATTAAATTGGACCCTTTCTCAAAATACCCTTCATGGTTTGACGCTTCAAAAAGCCAATAAAAAGCCTGACATTTTTAATATCTCACATAAGGCCAATACAGGCTTGGAACAATAGGACTACTCTTCTGAGGCTTTACCCCTATTGAAAGATTGGTGGGTTCAATGGTGCTTCAAGAGCACATTTATAATTGCTGCTTACGTCAAGATTTAGGATAGAACTATCTATAGGGCAGTATATTTAAGGAAGACAAGAGGTGCCCTAAAATAACCAACTTGTCACTGGCCATAGGTAAAATCAACAAAGAGGATACAGTTGCTGAAAAGTATAGTGACGCTTATTGGATATTATTAGAATAAAATTGAGTAGACAACTAAAATGTTTATCTGCCTCATATATAAAAATTCTGGTTTTCTAAAATGTCATACTTCAAAGACTCATAGCGTTGACCTTTGTCCATGCAACTTTTACATATTTCCATGCATCATCAGGGACTTAGTTGGAACAGATATCTAGAGTCCCTAAAAGTGTAGTGTCAACAAAAATGTTCCCGGCGAAAAAAATTATATTTTTGAGCAGAGGGTGGAACGGTAATAAAAATCCAGGGACACGTCGAAAGGCTGAAGCTGGATATTCAATTTCTGCAAGAAGCTCAAAATTAAATGTGCATACGCAGCTTTACTAAGCAAATAATTTCATCTGTTATTATTTTAGTCAAAACATGATAGTCTTAACACATCACATGCTAGATTCGAGGGAAGTTAAACGCTCTTTAAAGTAAAAATCGTACACATCTTCAACAGTAGCATCGCAAATATTTGGGCAGGACGGGGATTTCCTAATCGTTCGCTATGAATATCTAGAAATGTCTGGGGGGGAGGGGGGGGGGCGAGAGGTGCAATTTATCTCATTCCTTGACGTCAACGCGTGTCATAAAATTAAATATTGAATTGCCTACTCCAACAATATCGCTAAAATGTAACCTTTTTGTGTAGAGTCCTCACAATAATGAAAAGGTGTTAGCAAATAGCCACTTGTCAGTATTCTTGTATATTAACAAAATAAAGATAAAAACCCGAACTTTTAAGATGACGACCGTGAAACCCCCCCCCCCCCCCCCCCCCCCCCCCCAGCAACAACAACAAGAAAACTGACCTAAATGTTAAGCATGGAAAGCAGCTTCACGGGCAGTTCAATAGACTTTAAAAATAGTTTGTATCCAAGAAAATATATGTCTTATCTGCTCCTTGTCAGGATGCGATGCCCAGCACATAGTGGCGGGACAAAAGACAGGCAGCAGCACCTGTGATGTGGCGAATACCTTTTGCAAGCACTAATCCGTCCATAAGAATTTCGAATAAAGGAGGGTAAACAATGTTTCGTCCTGCCGTGATAGGGCTACATAAAAAATCAATTGGTAGAGGTAGATGTGGATCCTAGAAAAAACAAAAACAAATTACTTCTTAGTTACAAGTATCTGAATGATAGAAACATCACCAATAAAGAGCTGAGAACAAAGTAATACATTGTTTTAGGGGCTATTAACTACAGCTATGGTACCATTATCTTTTCTGAAGTCGTAAAAATGTAAACAGACTATTCATCTCATAGCCCCATTTCTCACTGCTAAACAACGAGATATCTTTCCTCATTAGGTTTTTTGGATTGAAGTTGTTGGCTGACATAGGTCTATGTAGCGTCAAACTGCCATGGTAATCAAATCCTGGCAGCTCTGGTTTACCGTGTACACAATAGAAAATGCTGACTGTTATTCGTTGGACAGAGGAAAAAGGAAAGAGCCTGTTGACTTGACATCTGAAAGGAACACAAAATAAAACAAAACCACAACTTCATTCGCTCCTTTTAATTCCAAAATCACATACATTGTGGCTCAGTGTGAATGAGAACAAAGAGAATTAAGAAGTAAAATGTTGCGAGCGGGTTATTGAAGTTATTGTAAATACTGCTCTACCCCTTGTGCATTAGGAATGTAAGAGGCACAATACCGAACCACACAACAAAAAATTGCTCCAACCGCACATCTATGTATCGCCGAGTCAGTAAACACCCAAGTCAAAGTCGATGTTTACTCGAGTGGCTTCTCCTTTTTAAGGCCTTCTCACAGGCCCTGAAGGGGCAAACTTTTAGCAAAGTATGGGCTGACATTCTAATGCTTATCGAGAACTTTTTCCCCGAGTACAAATTTCAGGCCACTGTTTTGCAACCCTTTCTTGATAAATAATTATAAAAAAAGTAGTCATTGTTCTTGACCAAATTTTAAATTCTCGTGCTCAAAGCAAGGCTTTCATCTCCCTCTTTCAAATATATTTATCCGGCTACAAAACCATTTAATCTTGTTAAACAACATTTAGTTGGTTCAAACAGGACAACTGACTATGACCTGCTAAAGTATTAGGTACAGTGAAAAATACTAAACAGGCATTTCTGCACTTGGCCTGTTTTAGCCGCAATAGAAAAATTCGAACCTTGCTGCTTGTCACTCGGTGCAAGTTTCTTCGAATCCCTTCAGCTGTTAAGTGCACAGAGCCAAATGGGTGATACTTCGCTATCGGTTCAAGCAGGTCAGCCGTTGTCTTTCTTTCTCCAATAAGGTGCTTGGCATTTGGGACAATCCACACAAAGAGCCAACACCACAAAAGCACTTGCTAGATCCTTAAAGACAACACACACGGACTTCTGCTTACAGAAGATGACCTTCATTGTTAGTGAACAGCGCAGTGTTATAGTGTTCAAACTTTGTTGTTTTTACGATTTTTATTTTATCTTTCTGTTCTTTCTTCTCTTCGTTAATCCCCTCACCCC